CATGACCTGGAAGTTATATCATGTTGGGGTGGCACTCTGGTATTTGGGTTAAAACTCTATGGTAAATTTGGCGAAGAAGAAGAGGAGGAGGAGGAGGAGGAGGAGGAGGAGGAGATTGGATTTGTACCCCACCATTCACTCAGAGTCTCAGAGCGGCTTTCAACATCCTTACCCTTACCCAGTTTGGTGTAGTGGTTAAGTGCGAGAACTCTAATCTGGGAGAACCGGGTTTGATTCCCCACTCCTCCACTCGCACCTGCTGGATGACCTTGGGCAAGCCGTAGTTCTGATAAGAGCTGTTCTTGAAAAAAGAGCAGTTTCTGTCAAGAGCTCTCTCAGCCCCACCTGCCTCACAGGGTGTCTGTTGTGGGGAGGGGAAGGGAAAGGATTTTGTAAGCCGCTCTGAGACTCCCTTGGGTACTAAAGGGTGGGGCATAAATCCAATCTCTTTTTCTCCTTCTTCTCCTTCTTCTTCTTCTTCTTCCCTCCCCACATCAGACACCCTGTGAGGTAGGTGGGGCTGAGAGAGCTCTGACAGAAATGTCTCTTTTTAAAGAACAGCTCTAATCAGAACAACGGCTTGCCCAAGGTCACACCAGCAGCTGCACGTGGAGGAGTGGGGAATCAAACCCGGTTCTCCCAGATTAGAGTCCACACACTTAACCACTACACCAAACTGGCTCTCGATTTATATCTCTGAAACAGAGACTCCTCGACATTGAGAAACAAACCCTCTGGTTTCTTGCAGGTAACACTTGTTTCCTCGCACTTAACCACTACACCAAACTGGGTAAGGAGATTGAAAGCCGCTCTGAGACTCTAAGTGAAGGGTGGGGTATCTTCTTCTTCTTCTTCCCTCCGCACATCAGACACCCTGTGAGGTAGGAGGGGCTGAGAGAGCTCTTTTGAAGACTGCTGTTATAGGAACAACTCTGAGAGAACTGTGGCTGAGAGAACTTGCCCAAGGTCACCCACCAGATGCATGTAGAGGAGTGGGGAATCAAACCCCGTTCTCCAGATTAGAGTCCTCCACTCTTAACCACTATACCAAACTGGTTCTCAATAGGGTTTTTGCCCAAAGACCAGAGTTTTGCCCCCGATGTCCTGGAAGTTATGGTGTCACTTCTGGGTCATGTGGGTAATGATGCTGGGTCTCTCTCTTTTCTGGTGTTCCACTTGCCACTGCCGCCCCCCACCAGCCAACTGATCAGTGGCAGGGAGGTATGGTCTGGGAGTGGGGGAGCCCACCTTCACCAGGGGAACTTGCAACCTAGGTTGGGTAGGTTTGTAACGGTGCTGGTAGTCCTTCGGCTATGTTGATCTCAAGACATATAGGGCTTTAATTGTCAAAACTAGGAACTTGAATTTTGGCCAGAACAGACTGAAAGCCAGTGTAGTGGTTAAGAGTGGTGGATGTGGCAGAATCGGATCTGGAGAACCGGGTTCGATTCCGCACTCCTCCACATGAAACCAACTGGGTGACCTTGGGTCAGTCACAGCACTTTCAGAGCTCTCTCAGCCCCACCTACCTCACAGGGTGCCTGTTGTGGGGAGAGGAATAGAAGATGATTGTAAGCCGCTCCGAGACTCCTTTGGGTAGCGAAGGGTGGTGTATAAAAACCAACTCTACTTCTTCTTCTAGATGGACCATGACTGGAGTGAAGAGGTCCCTGCAACCCACTCCGGAGAACGTTACGGCCAGAGCATTTCATGGTCTGTATATTATTGATCATTCTTATGCTGTGGCTTTTGTTATATCGTTTTGCTTAAACACAGCAAGCTGCCTTCTGCTGCATAGACTGTTGGTCTATCATGGTCAGTAATCAGGGCTGTTTTTGTAGCAGGGACTCCTTTGCATATTAGGCGACACACCCCTAATGTAGCCAATCATCCAAGAGCTTACAGAGCTCTGCTTACAGGGGTTACTGTAAGCTCTTGAATGATTGGTTACATTGGGGGTGTGTCACCCAGGGGTCATTTCCTGCAGGAGCGCACGGGAGCGGAGCTCTAGCAGTAAAGAGCCCAGGGGGCGGGCACATGCAACAAGCCCCACCCCCTGCTCCCAGCAGGCCTCAGTCAGAGCAAGAAGCAGCCAGGTAAGATGCAGAGCTCCCCCCCTGCCCCCCCGGTCCAAAACATTCCAGTGGCACCTTTAAGACCAAGTTTTTATCAGGTACAAGCTCTCGCTTCTCTGCGAGGACAGATCTGCATGTCCCCCCCCCCATAGCTAGCAATCCAAAACTGAGCCTGAGTGGTGTGTATTCCCTTCTGACACACTTCCGGTGATGTCAAGGGGTGTGGCATGTGCAAATAAGTTATGCTAATGGTTTATGCTAATGAGCTCCTGCACCTCTTTTTCTACAAAATGACCCCCGCTGCCAGCGGTGTGCCTAAGAGAAATTCTCTAAATTCCTCCTTACTCAATTACTCTGCAATGCTAATGAGCTCCTGCACCTCTTTTTTCTACGAAATGACCTCTGCTGTCACCTAATATGCAAAGGAGTTCCTGCTACAAAAAGAGCCCTCAGTATTCTCTCAAATCAGCTTTCCAGGGCAGGAGCAGCCTTAGTGATTCCAGGGCCCTGGAAAAAAGCCCCCGATGAGGGTTTCCAAGCAAGATCTGGCCTCTATAATTGCCCAGAGTGGGGCAGGCACAAGCCACTGAACCCCCACCACAGTGACCAGGCAATCCTCACTATAGGGTTCTCAGGTCCCTCTGAACAGCTAGCGGGGGATGGTGGGTGGACTTACCAGGAGCAGAGAGGAACCCCCAGCATTTCAGCAACATGTCTATGTGACCCAGAAGTGACGTAGGCACGGCAGGGATATCCGGGAGGGGACACTCTGGTTTTGGGGCAAAACTCTATGGTAGATTTAGCTGATGCCATAGAATTTTTGCCCAATAACCAGAGTGCCGCCCCAACACCCCCAATTTGCCTATGCCCCTTCCAGTTCATGTAGGCACATTGCTGAAGTTCTGGGCATTCTGCCCTTTTTGGGAAGTGGAGAGGTGGGGCCTGGCAGTGGGAGACCCCCCCGCCCCCACCAGGGGGTTTGGCATCCCTATCCCACTATGTTGTACGAGTGAGCAGATGTTGTACAAGGAGCCCTTCCTGAGGCAAGGCATTCCCCCTTGCATAATTCCCAGAACCCGTCTGGCCCCTTCTGGACCCGCCAGTGCTCAATTCCTTTCCATCCCCGGGAGAAGGAGAAAATGGTTGCCTGTCTTAGTCCCTTACCAGGTCTCTATGGACCGTGCTGGCAGAAGTGTGGCTTCTCAGTAGGCCTCTCCCTACCCTTGGCACAGCACAGCTGATTGTCAGCCCCTGGTGGGCCATCTGCACAACTGCTAAAGCGACTAAGAACCTCAGAAGAGCCCTGCTGGATCAGACCAGTGGTCCATCTAGTCAAGCGTCCACTCTCACATAGTAGCTAACCAGTTCCTCTGCAGGGCCAACAACAGGGCACGGAGGCCGAGGCCTTCCCCTGAGAAGAACACCAGAAGAGCCCTGCTGGATCAGACCAGTGAGGGTCTAGTCCAGCCTCCCATCTCACACAGGGGCTAGCCAGTTCCTCTGGAGGGCCAACAACAGGGCAGAGAGGCAGAGGCCTTCCCCTGAGAAGAACATCATAAGAGCCCTTCTGGATCAGGTCAGTGATCCATCTAGTCCAGCATCCTGTCTCACACAGTTTCCAACCAGTTTCCAACCTCTAGAGCAGGGGTGTCAAACATGCGGCCTGGCGGCTGGATCAGGCCCCCAGAGGGCTTCCGTCAGGCCCACGGTGGAACTGGCCATCTCCTGCTTCTAGTTCTGCTGCTGCATCATAGCTTGCTTTGCCAGACTCTCTTAATCACTCAGCCATTTCATGTTTCAACCTGGGTCCTAGACTCAGAACTCTGAGCATGAGATTTCTGTGGTGAACGTCAATAAATCAAAAGTAGGTTTGCAGCTTACAGAGCGAATGTTTTAAGCATGTTTTTATTTTAAGTAAAAAAAATTGTGTTTGTGTCTTTTATAAAGTTTATATCTCCACTACCGGGCATTATGCATGGTCCGGCCCAACAATGTCTCATTTATGTCAGATCTGACCCTCATAACAAATGAGTTCAACACCCCTGCTCTAGAGGGTCAACAACAGGGCATAGAGGCTGAGGCCTTCCCCTGAGAAGAACATCAGAAAAGCCCTGCTGGGTAAGACCAGCGGTCCATCTAGTCCAGCATCCTGTCTCACACAATGGCCAACCAGTTCCTCCGGCGGTCCAACAACAGGGCAGGGAGGCCGAGGCCTTCCCCTGAGAAAAACATCAGAGCATTGTTGGATCAGGCCAATGGTCCATCTAGTCCAGCATCCTGTCTCACACAGTTTCCAACCAGGTCCTCTGGGGATCCAACAGCAGGCCAGAGAGGCCAAGGCCTTCCCCTGATGTTGCCTCCTGGCTCTGGGATTCAGAGGCTTAGTGCTTCTGAATGTGGAGGTCCCCCTCAGTCACCATGTCTAGTAGCCACTGATAGACTTATCCTCCATGAATCCATCACAACATCCCCTGGCAGCGAAGTCCACATTTTAATCCCTCTCTGTTCTGTGCAACAGAATGTCTGCAAGAGAATGACTAACTTGATCCTCCTCAGAGCGACTGAGAGCAGTGGGCAGTGCCACAAAACAGCTGGAGAATCCGGGGACCCACAGGGCCCCGTCCACATGGAGCCCAGGAAAACTGACCTGAATGTCCCATGGCCAAGATCGCCTCTGCCCCAGGGTCTCAGGTAGAAATCTATCCCATCTCCTGCAACTTGATCCTCTTAACTGGAGATGTCAGGATGGAACCTGAGATTCCTGCAGGACACTGAACACCGGTTGTGTGTCCCCTCGAGCAGATCTCCAGACAGGTGACACCGAAACATTTTAGATAAAGAATTGAGCAAGTTGTAAACTCTGCTAAGCTAAATACGTTTTAAAAGGGTTCCTTTCATCTACCGACTGAATTATCACAGACTTACCAGAAGAAGGAAGAGAGAAGCAGAAGACAGGAGCAATCGCAAGAGACTTGCTCAGAAGTCATAGATGGAGTGCTTTTATGCTGTTCCCTTCGGAGCTTAATGAGAGTGACTCATTCTAAAAAATAACGGGTGTGTCTATGCCAGTGCATATTGCCTACAAATCACAGGTGTAATCCCAGACATAATAGACAGATATTACACATGGGCGTCATTTTGGAATATCATAGGTCTGGAACGAGTTCTTACTAAGTTTTGAGTCTGTTTCCTGTTTCAGTTGGGATCGCAATGTGTTTCTTGTAAGGTGATGCAACATCGGTACGACCCCCCCCGCCCCCGCTCCCAACTTCAAGTATAGGCTAATGTGGTCTGAACCAGTGCTCCCTTTAAACTGTGGAGTCTTGTGAGCAGAAATTCTACTATGTGAGCTACTGGCATGAAAGTTGTGAGCGAGCGATTTGGCTACTGCATAAATTAGTTTGCTCTGGAGCTGTCCTTCCTGAGCTAAGACAAAAATGTGTGAGCTGGAGGCTAAAAAACTGTGAGCTAGCTCACACTAACTCAGCTTAGGGGGAACACTGGTCTGAACCTGATGTCTCTACGGTTTCAATCAATGCCAACGGGAATCGCGGAGGGCCGATTCGATCAAACACCATTGGTCCATCGTCTATGTATTGGTGGCACCCACAAACTTGAGGATTTACCTCACGGTATCCTCTTTTGCGCACTATATTCTAGTCCGAGGGCTACATTTTTAGCAGGCATTTTATCTGGTCTTCATGCTTACCCAGTGGAGGATAAAATTTCATTTTTGTTATCTGACACTGATGCGTATGTCTCTTATAAAGTTTCATTATTTGTCCTTGCTGCAAAGAATATAGGTTTCAAGGTGGCATCGGGAAGGGACATTATTCAGGTTACTGTGGTCAATGAGTCAAATTTGGTCATTGATTTCTGTCATTTTATATATATTCTGATATCAACCTATAGTTTGTTCGGAATTTGTATTTTGTAGTTTTGTGATGGCCAATGGCTAATCACAATAAACTGAACTGAACTTGATGAGACTGAGAGGGAGAGAGATGTTGGGGTCGTGGTGGATAGCTCCGTTTAAGTGCCAACCCAGTGTGCTGCAGCAGCGAAAAAGGCAAATTCGATGTTAGGGATTGTTAGGAAGGAGACTGAAAATAAAACAGCCGATATGATAATGCCCCTGTATAGTTCTATAGTGTGGCCTCATTTGGAATAGAGGAGGAACAAACACTGTCAGAACCCCACCTAACCTAACAAACAGGAAGTTGTTTAAATTTTATCAACCTGCCTAAACTATGTATTTGCCAGTTTGGTGTAGTAGTTAAGTGCACGGACTCTAATCTGGGAGAACCAGGTTTGATTCCCCCACTCCTCCACTTGCACCTGGCTGGATGACCTTGGGCAAGCCATAGTTCTGATAAGAGCTGTTCTTGACAAAGAACAGTTTCTGTCAGAGTTCTCTCAGCCCCACCTACCTCACACAATGTTCCCTCTAAGCTGTAGAGTCCTGTGAGCAAAAATTCTACTTTGTGAGCTACCTGCATTAAAGTTGTGAGCTACTGCATAAAGTTGGCTACTGCATAAATTAGTGTGTTCTGGAGCCATCCTTCCTGAGTTGAGACAAAAATGTGTGAGCTGGAGGCTAAAAAACTGTGAGCTAGCTCACACTAACTCAGCTTAGAGGGAACAGGGTGTCTGTTGTGGGGAGGGGGAAGGGAAAGGAGTTTGTAAGCCGCTCTGAGACACCTTTGGGTAGTGAAGGACGGGGTATCACTGTATCTCAAAAAGGATATCACAGAGTTGGGAAAAAAGAAGAAGAAGAAGAGATTGGATTTATATCCTGCCCTTCACTACCCAATGGTGTCTCAGAGTGCCTTACAAACTCCTTTCCCTTCCCCTCCCCACAACAGACACCCTGTGAATTAGGTGGGGCTGATAGAGCTCTGACAGAAATTGCTCTCTTTTTTCAAGAACAGCTCTTATCAGAACTACGGCTTGCCCAAGGCCATCCAGCCAGGTGCCAGTGGCAGTGTGGGGAATCAAACCCTGTTCTCCCAGATTGGAGTCCACACACTTAACCACTGCACCAAACTGGCTTTCCAAAGTACCAAAGTGGGTGACCTCCCCTAAGAGGAAAAGCTGAAGAGTCTGGGACTTTTCAGTTTAGAAAAGAGACATGATTTTGTTGTTGTTGTTGTTGTACATTTGCACAGGCAAGTCCAACTCTTCGCGACCTCATGGACCACATCACGCCAGGCCCTCCTGTCCTCCACCGTCCCCCGGAGTGTGCTCAACTTCATGTTCATTGCATCGATGACACTGTCTAACCATCTCATCCTTTGCCGTCCCCGTCTTCTTTGACCTTCAATCTTTCCCAGCATCAGGGTCTTCTCCTATGAGTACTCCCTTCTCATTTGGTGGCCAAAGTATTTGATTTGATAGACATTTATTAAAATTATGCATGGGGTGGAGAAAGTTGTCAAGGAAAAAAATCTCTCCTTCTCCCAAAATCCTAGAACTCGAGGGCATCCAGTGAAGTTGAGGGGTAGTAGATTCATGATGGACAAAAGGAAATACTTTCTTACCATCTTCATCAACATTTATTATGATCAAAGATCAGCCAAGCAGTTTACCAGGACCGATTACATGCAAATATAAAATAGTACTTTACACAGAGAATGTATTTTAATGTATTTATGCTTTTTATGGAAGCCGCCCTGAGCCCGCTTGCGGGGAGAGCGGGGTATAAGTTTGATAAATAAAATAAATAATAATGTGGAATTCACTGTCGGAGGATGTAATGATGGTCTCAGGAATAAACAGCTTTAAACGGGGATTAGATAGATGGATGATAGGTCTATCAGTGGCTACAAGCTGTGGCGACTGAGGGGAACCTCCACATTCAGAGGCACTAGATCTTTGAAATCCAGAGTCAGGAGGCAACCTCAGGGGAAGGTCTCGACTTCCATGACCTGTTGTTGGCCCTCCAAAGGAACTGGTTGGCCTCTGTGTGAGACAGGATGCTGGACTAGATGGACCATTGGTCTGATCCAACAGGGCTCTTCTTATGGTCTTAAGAGGGGAAGGCCACATGACGGAGTGAGCTCCCGTCTCTAGTTCCAGCTCCTGCCAACCTAGCAGTTCGAGAGCAAGAAATTGCAAGTAGATAAATAGGTACCACTTCGGTGGGAAGGTAACAGCGTTCCGTGCGCCTTGGTGTTTAGTCATGCTGGCCACATGACCACGGAAAAGTGTTTTGTATCTATCCATTGTATCTTTACTGCCGGAGCTCCGCTCCTGTGCGCTCCTGCAGGAAATGACTTCTGGAGACCACCAAAGAAGGCTCTGTAGAAGCAGGCAATGGACAACCATCGCTGCTTCGCATTTGCTGGGGTTGCTATAAATTTGGTTGGTATGTCTCGGGGGCACTTTACATACATTCTTATGGTATTTATTATACCCATGGATTTTATCCAGCAGAATCCTATCAAAATGTAGAAACGTATAAAATAAACATATCAATAAATGGAGATGTACACCAGCAGCAGAAGGCCTGCAGCTTTGTGCCCCTACAGATCTGGAATTGTGAAGAATAATAATTAAAAAATCAGAATGCCTGACCATTGGGAATTGCCTTGAAACTAATGGAAGATGTCATGTTTGCACTAAAAGAAGGCAAATTGCATTTCGAAAAGCTTCTGACCATTTCCAGTATCTGTTCATGCCTGAAAATTGCAAAGCATCTTGGGATTCCAGACTCTGAAGACTGCAATTGCCTCCAAGGGCCAAATTACATATTACAGCAACGACAGGTCCAGCCTATAGCCACCCACACCATTTTAGAAGAGAATTCAGCCATTTAAAAATTGCTACAGGGGCCACACTGCAGTCATAGAATCATTGACTTGGAAGGGACCTCCAGGGTCATCTAGTCCACCCCCCTGTAAAATGCAGGAAATTCACAAATACCCCCTACACCCCCAGTGACTGCTGCTCCATGCCCAGAAGATGACAAAATACCTCCAGGATGCCCGGGCAAACTGACTTGGAGGAAAATTGCTTCCTGACCCCCAAAGTGGTGAACAGCATTTCCCTGGGCATGTCCGAAAGGGCCACAAGAACTAAGCACTGATGCAACCCTTCCTGCCATCCCTTCTCATGGTCTGCCTGAGTTCACAGAATCAGCATGGCTGTCAGGTGGCCCTCTAGCCTCTCTTTGAAAACCTCCGAAGAAGGAGAGCCCACCACTTCCCGATGAAACCCGTTCGACTGAGGAACCACCTTAACTGTCAGGAAGTTCTTCCTAATTTTTAGCCGAAAACTCTCCAGTCATACCCGGTGACCTTGTTTTGCCCCTTGCACCTTTTCAAGTGCCAAAACAGCCCTCCATAGATGGATCAGGTTTGAGCTCTCACCGTAATTCAGAAAAGTAAAAAAAGAAAAAGATTACATATTGTAATGATAGATAGATGACAGATAGGTAGATGATAGACAGGCAGATGATGGATGGATGGATGGATGGATGGATGGAAGATAGATAGATAGATAGATAGATGATAGATAGATGATAGATAGATGATAGATAGATAGATGATAGATAGATGATAGATAGATAAGTGATTATATATAACAAAATATATGATATAGAAAATATTTCTCCCCTACACCCCCTTCATTACATTGGAAAGTTTTTTGGGGTCACTGTTCACAAAATACTATAGAACTTATTTCCACTGGGATACATTTATATTCAAAATTTTACATTTCAGATTTCGTGACTAACCTGGTTTCCCCCCCACACTGAATTCTTGAGACTATCATTGCTGCATACTCACTACTACGTATCTTCACCATTTCTGTGTACTCGCTGTTACTTTTGGAAAATAGGTAATATAACAAAAATACAAAAGGGAGGACCATTGTATAGCTTGTAGCAGGTATTACGGTTAGAACTGATTTTCATTCCGCTTCTTCACATGTTGAGCAGATCCAGACCATGTTTCTGCAGCATATCCTTAGGATTCC